ATCCAAGGGAACAGAGCTTCGTATCCGAGCGCGTGGCCAACACGCCACGACTATCGAAGCTAGGAATGGCATCCTGCGACACCTCATACATGTGATGGGAGAAGAATTGAATAGGTTGAGTATTCCTCTGAATTTCACTCGTCTTTTACATGAAGCCTTGTTTGCCAGCAGCGCATTTACCTTCTACAACGAAGTTTCTCCGTATAATGCGCTGTACGGCAGACAACCAGCTATGCTTCCCGATTTCCCTGTCTTGGATCATGATCAGTCCGCTGAATCATCAGATCACTCAAGGGAGGAGACAATCAGGAGGGTTAGTCTGGAGGCAATCACGCAGGCCACTGCGGTTGCCAAGACGAACAGGGCTCTCCGTACGAAGACTACTGCTACGGGTGAATTTCACTACAAAGAGGGAGATCTCGTGGACTATCATCGCCCGACCACCACGAAAGACGACTGGGGTGGATGGAGTGGTCCATACCCGGTCATCCGCAACGAACCTGACCGAGGCCAGGTCATCGTGAAGGTCGGTAGTCGCGAAGTGCGAGTACAGTATCCTGACACACGACATACGCTGTACATCGAAGCACTGATGGTCCGCGAGATAGGATCGGACAATACGGCCCTTCGGACAGTATTGGCCTTTATTGCCGGTCTGCCAGCGGGGAAACCCGCCATGACTTTCGGATATTTACCAGCGAAACAGGGCCGGCTGCAGATGACAGCTGCGAGCCGGCTTTCGCCTAAGGTGCACCTGGCTCTTCAGTACCTCATACGCAACTATTTTCGCATTGAAAACGTTGTTGCTGTACGACTTGCTAAGAGCCTGACGAAGTTGCCTGCTGCACCCTATGCAGACAGCTGTACACTAGTGCACTATGATAATGATGTGACCCCTGGCTTTCACTATTATGAGGCTGAGGGCACTGCCTTGAACATCTACGACATCACAGGATCTACACACTCACGCATCATCCAGTGTCTTAAATCCAAGAAGCCGCCTGCTGGATTTGACCGAGACCTCACTAAGTTTGAGGAACTCGCTGATGGTCCACCACCAAGCGAGTCACCTCCAGCAGCTGCTCCTGAGCAGCCTCCTGCGGAGAATGATGGTCGGCTCCCGACCATTATAGAGGAAACAGAAGAAGACCTGGATGCCTTCGTCTTGAAGTCGTGGTATGCTGAATTGATGGATGACAGAACACTCCTTGAAGCTGACACAGAAGAAGCCATGCATACAGTTCCGACATACATGACAGACACACAGTGTGTGTGTTAGTCTCTACGACCTGTGAAGATGTGCAAGGCCACTTGCCGGAGCGGGGTCACCCGCCAGGATACGACATGGACACTTCTTACTACGTTCCTTTGTGCTCCACGGATCCGGACAGCAAATATGATCTGGATTCCGACGAGCACGGGAAGTACATCGAGCTTTGCTTCACAGCAGACATGTCCAAAGTCGTCCTGTCCGAGCAGCAACGCCGATTGTTGGATGACAGCAGCGTCACAACTATGCGAGTATACGTTAGTGCTGCCTCCAAACGTGCCGCGGTCGTCAAGGAAGACGATCTACTCACGAAGGCCGACATTCAAGCGAATCCGGTCAAAGTTTCCAAAGCCCTTTACACAGAATTGAAGACTTGGCTTGACAACAAATGCTTCCAGATGACTGACTTGAGCAAAGCGTCGAACATCATGACTTCACGCTACGTATACAAATGGAAATTTGTCAAGAACGAAAAGGGCGAAATGGAACGGACGATCAGGTTACGCTTGGTACTCCGTGGCTTCATGGACATTGAAGCCTTCGATGTCGAAACCTTCTCTGGCACGGCAAGGAGGTCAAGCCAGAGACTGCTCGCAAGTTCTGCTGCATGCAACAAAGCTTGGATCATCGCTTCCCTGGACATCAACATGGCTTTCTTGAAGGGACTGACCTATAGCGAGCTCGCCGCGGCAACGGGCGAGAAAGAGCGTGTGGTGTGCTTCACACTACCTCCTGGGTCAGCAGCTGTCCTTCGCACACTGCCAGGCTTTGAGTCATATGACGAATCAAAGCATTGTCTTCGGTGTCTGAAGCCGGGGACGGGCGCGAAGGATGCTCCCAGGGCATTCTCGTTGAAGCTCAGGTCCATCACTAGGAGCTTTGGACTACAGCCTACTTCATACGACGAAGAATTCGAGATGAGCTCAAACCTCTTGACCGCCAAACACGTTGATGGCATCAATATGACTGGGAAGGAAGATGCTATTGACAAGTATGTCAAGTGTGTTGAAGATACGTTTGGAAAGTGCAAACTGAACAAGCACACATACACAAACTGTGCCGTTCGGTACAACAAGACCGATGATGGGAGCGTCACTCTTGATCAGGACGAATACATCAAACAGCTTCGTCCTATCACACATCCAGAACTCACAGGCGCTGATCCTGAGAGCAAAGCGACAAAGACGATTTCTGATATGTTCGTCAGTCTTCGTGGCGCTCTAGCCTATGCGTTGATCACGCAGGTATGGCTGATGGTCTATGTTGTCTCACTACAACGTATCCAGGAACCGACAAACATCCAGGTACGACGACTAAACGCGGTTACCAGGAAATTGCAGGCAGGTCCGAAGAAGATCGTGTATCAAGCTATGACTCCAACAGGAGAAGTCGACCTGCATAGCGATTCTGGCTATCGTCGTCTCAACGGAGATGAAGACGACGAAGTCAAAGGCTATGGTATCCGCGGGGCTAACCTGCTGAGGCGTGGCCACACGCAATCGGGGAAACCCGTCGTGCACCTGGTGGACGCATACTGCAAGTCTCATCGACTGCAGGTGCGTTCGAGCTACTCTGCGGAAACACTGGCAGCAGCCCACAACTTGGAAGACTGCTACCCGACCATTGTAACGCTCCACGAGCTACACTCGGGACCATTGACCCCCACACAGTTAAAGAACATATTGGAAATGGGTGGTCTATGTATCAAAGTCACTCTGACTATTGATGCCGAGTCTGTCTTCAAGTCTTTGTCTAGCAAAGATCTGAAGAAGCCCACAGAATGTACTCTGCTTGGGCACATTAGCTGGATCCGCCAGATGATGGAGCGCGGAATCGTTGAAAGCGTTCAATGGTGTGACACGCGGGATATGACTGCCGATGGTCATACCAAAGGTAGTATTGACCGCGCGTTGCTCCTACAAGTAATGGCCGGCCAGCAATCCTTCAAGCACGAGCTGAAGAAACATACTCCGTATAGGGCGGGCAGGTCGTCTCAGGACGGCCCTGCCTCCCGAGCTAGCGGGGAAACCCGCATGCAGGTGCGCTCTAGTAGCGAGGAAACTCGCCGGTAGCGAGGCTACTCGCGCGCCCTTGCCTTGTAGGCAGCCGCTGTTGCCTAGCACTGTTTTTCCGTGTAATGTAGAAGTGCGGTGCTTGCTCGTCTCCTCCCCCTCCGACTTTAAACGGAGAAGGTTAAAGGCGAGATGTATATCGAGCATGCACCGCGGCCGTGCCTGGCTCAAGCCGGGCCCGGCCTAATATGTGACTGTGCCTCACCGAGGCGCACGACTTGTATCTGAGATCGGAAAATACCTTTTCCATTGACGATGCCCCTTCTATCCTTTACTCCAGATCCCATGCTTCGTCTCGCTCTCTTGCTCATGCGATATGAGCCAAAGCCTGGGATATGGGAGCGCCTAAGGCGGAACATATATCTAAGCTTACCAGTGCGTTTTCGACTCGCCGGCCCTACTCGACCTTGTTATTCAACGCAGATTAGATTCGCCAGCCCTACAGCCGTCGAGGCCGTGGGTGAAACCTCTGAAAGAGAACCCTGGGCTCGAGCCCTATCCGGAAAAATACCACCGCCAAGCAGCGCCGCATGGGCAACGGAAGCGCAGGCAAGCGCCAGCGATGACACAATGAGGGCCGGCGGAATGAGCGAAGCGATTTGATACATTATGTTGACAGGCTAAGCTCAACACCAAACACTAATTGGAGCTTCTAGTACGCTTAAGCCTTGACCGCCAAGCTAAGTACAAAGGGTGACGTGCGTTGATTTGAACGGCGTCGAACAACTTACGCCACTCGACCTACGGAAGAGGGCAGCCGTGAAGACATTCTGGGCGAACTGGGTGCCCGCCGGGAAGGGTACAGCGGAACAGGTGGAATATCGTTATCTTGCGAAGAGGATGGAGAAGAAGACGTGAGACATCATGATAAAGGATACGATAATTAATACCACTGTAATGTGAATACGGCGGAGGACGAGGGAGGAGGGGCAGGATGATGATTCTGAAAAGGAGGTCAGGAAGGTTAGGGGTGGCGAGAGCAGGAGACTCAAGTGGACAACCTTGTTCTAGCCAGCTGGCGTTTTCAATGTAAGGATGCAGCAGCTGTTGAGCCAGGAGAGCGGGGAACTGTGCCCCCCCCCAGGGGAAACTCGCGCGCAAATCTGCCAAGTGGTGAGCGAATCGGAGATCTGTGGCTCAACACTGGGGCCTGTCTCTTGGTCTGTCGGGCCAGATTTGGGCGCTTCATGAACACATCTTGGGATTTGTTGGGCCCCTCTTGGGGCCTCCTGGGGCCAGCTTGGCGCTCCTGCGAAGGCATTGGGGCCGTCCGGGAAAATCTGAAGATCCTCTGCGGGAGTATTGGCCGAATTTGGGCCAGTCGTGGGGAAGAAGTTGGTGTTGCCCCTCCGCCTCCCAAACCTCCATGTGGTTCTTTGGCAGTGCATAGTGTCAGCTCTCTCTGCCCACGGAGTTCATGCGTCACTTGTGCGGTTGCGCGTCATCGCCTCAGCTGCCCTCCGTCTTCAACAAGACATGTCAGACAGACAGGAACCGTGCCCAGACAGCACAGTGGTTGAAGATCGCGTGCATGAGTGTGTGTTCGACAGCACGGTGGCGTCGACAGCCCGAGGAGCAAGGTATAACCGGCGTCGCCGGCTCCGTGGGCAGAGACTGTCTGAAAATCTGTGCACACATGCCCGAGATTCCTCCAAAAGGTCCACTTGGTGGACGATCCAGGAGAGCAACGGCAGCAGTCGGGCGACGAAATCTATACACGTCCACTGCTCCCTGGCCAAGCCGGGAGGGCGTGGCGTATACACCGCTGCTGGGTTCAGGATGGGCCTGGCCAGAGAGCAGTGGGCATGTATAGATTTCGCCGCCCTAGGCAGGAGGCAAGATGCGTGCGCCGGCAAGCCATGTTCCAGACGACGACTGGAAACCCCTCAGCGCAGGCACCGTTCGGGGAACCGAGGCCGCGGGGGCCAGCCGCGAGAGTCCGGTGCCAGCGGCCCTGCCGAGAGCTCCAGGCCCCGCATCGCGAGAGGACCACGGCGCCAAGTGCTGCAGCGCCGACGGCCCGCTAGTAAGGTAGCAGGCCCCCAGCTGTCGGGGCGGGCGCGTGCACGCCCAGAGGTCCGACGTCGTGATTTTGTTCACTGCGGGGTCTCCGGAAGTCTCAACCGATTCCCCAGGACCCAGTCCTCATCCCGAATTGTTTTCTGACGGCCCGGGGCCCGGCGAGGGCCCCTGGAGGCCGAAGAGTGAGAAAAGCCGCCGTGTGGATCTTTCCAGTGCGTTGGATCTCGGGGTGGCTTCCACGGGAGGGGTGGACAAGGGGCAGGCGTGCGCACCCTGCCCGGAGGGTGACCACCTCGTGCGCGGAGCATCCGTGCGCGCTGGCGGCGCACGCATGCCCATCACACATTAGCTTACCCCCGGAGGCCGGCGCGGCCGGGCCCCGCACCGAGGCTGCCTCCTGTCAGGAGGGGAAAGAACACACACAGACACACTGAGTCGGCGATTCCCCAGAAAATATGGGGAAATATGGAAAGTGGGGGGGGAAGAAAAACCCAGAAAATATAACAAAATATTGGGCATCCTGTTATTTGTGTCTATTTATTTGTGTGTCCCGGGGCCCCTCCGGTGGGGCGAAGAGAGCCGCGCTTCCCAGACCCCCTCGCGGTGTGAACAAAATGATGCCGGGACGTGGTTCGTTCCTTTCGGCCTCCGTGTGGGCCCTCAGCGGGCCCCAGGACCGTCAACATGATCGACCCACGATCCCGGAAAGGAGTATAAAAGTGTGCGGCGTGGCAGCGGTTTCAAGACACCTGATTGGGCGACGGGCAAGTGCAATGCTGAGTGTATCTTTCTTGATGTACCGTGCCGAGGGCTGTGCTGTGCTGCGCAGTGTTGAATTGTGATGTGCCGTGCCGCGACTGTGCTCTACAGCGTTGTGGATCGAGCCTTCCTTTGCATCCGAGTTCTGACCGAAGTGATCTGGATCTTGAGCTCGAGCTGCCTGAGCACATAGTAGCTGCCCCAGAGCTAATTGACAGGGGGACATGCCAGGGGAACGCACCGCGGAACGTCCCAAGGGACGCGCCAGGGGACGTGCCAAGGGGACGCGCTACGGAACGTGCCATGGGACGGGCCAGGGGACGCGCCGCGCGACTTCACGGGACGCGCCACGGAACGTGCCACGTCAGGGAACGTGCCACGGGACGTCCTTGATCCAGGCCAGGATCTTTCGTAAATTACATTGCGTCCGCGCTCCCAGGGCCACGATCCATGTAAAGTACGCTGCGTCCGCTCTCTCTGGGCCACGATCCCTCGTAAATTATGGTGTGTCCGCTCTCCCTGGGCCACGATCCCTCGTAAACTACGCTGCGTCCGCGCTCCCGGGGCCGCGCTTGATACTGAATTACACTCTGTCCGCGCTCCCAGGGCCACGTTCCCCAGTAAATTACGCTGTGTCCGCTCCCCCAGGGCCACGATCCATCGTAAATTTCGCAGCCACCGCGTCCCAGGGCCACGATCCGTTGTAAATTAAGCTGCGTCCGCGCTCCCAGGGCCACGACCCATCGTAAAGTATGTTGCGTCCGCTCTCCCTGGGTACGATCCATTGTGAACTACGCTGCGTCCGCGCTCCCAGGGCCGCGCTCCCTAATCAAAAATTACGCTGCGTCCGCGCTCCCAGGACCACGTTGCCTTGTAACTTACGATGTGTCAGCCCCCCCTGGGCCAGGATACCTCGCAAATTAAGCTGCGTCCGCGCTCCCAGGGCCACGATCCATCGTAAATTACGCTGCGTCCGCGCTCCCAGGGCCACGATCCCTCGTAAACTACGCTGCGTCCGCGCTCCCAGGGCCACGATCTCTCGTAAATTACGCTCCCTGGGCCACGACCATTTGTAAACTACGCTACGTCCGCGCTCCCAGGGCAGCGCTCCATAGTGAATTACATCGTGTCCGCGCTCCCAGGGCCACGTTCCCTAGTAAATTACGCTGTGTCCGCCCCCCCAGGGCCACGATCCCCTGTAAATTTCGCTGCGTCCGCGCTACCGGGCCACGATCCGTTGTAAATTAAACTGCGTCCGCACTCCCAGGGCCACGATCCATCGTAAACTACGCTGCGTCCGCGCTCCCAGGGCCACTATCTCTTGTAAACTACGCTGCGTCTGCGCTCACAGGGCCACGATCCATCGTAAACTACGCTGCGTCCGCGCTCCCAGGGCCACTATCTCTTGTAAAGTACGCTGCGTCCGCGCTCCCAGGGCCACGATCCCTCGTAAAGTACGCTGCGTCCGCGCTCACAGGGCCACGATCCCTGGTAAATTACACGGCGTCCGCGCTCCCAAGGCCGCGCTCCATAGTAAATTACATTGTGTACTCTGAGGGCCACGTTCCCTAGTAAATTACGCTGCGCCCGCGCTCCCGGGGCAACGACCCCTCGTAAATTACCCTGGCTTTGCGCTCCCAAGGCCACGATCCCTTGTAAAGTACGCGGCATCCGCGCTCCCAGGGCCACGAGCCCTTGTAAATTGTACGGCGTCCGCATTCCCAGTTCCAGGATCCTTGGTAAATTACGCTGGACTTGCGCTCCCAAGGCCGCGATCCCTTGTGAATTACCTTGGATGTGCGCTCCCAAGGCCACGATTCCTTGTAAAGTACGCGGCATCCGCGCTCCCAGGGCCACGATCCCTGGTAACTTACGCGGCATCCGCGCTCCCGAAGTGGCGACCGCTCGCAAATTACATTCGATTTGCGTTCCCAGAACCCCCTGGGGATCCTGGAGCGCCCAGGCCCGTCAAATTTTGCAAAGCAAGCGTTCCGCTCGAGACGTTCCCAGAATTTCTGCGCGCAGGACGCGCCATCCTGGAGCGGGCACGCAAAAAGTCAACATATGTTCACTTTCTTATGTCCTTGTCGTGTCTCCAGATTACGTGTTTTTTTTAAGATTCTGCTGAAAATGCCCCGCCCTTTTTTTCTAGGGAAAACCCGGTTATTTATCGAGGATCCGAGATAGGGAGGCGCATTTTCCTCGAGCGGGCACGCGCGAAACGCATTTGTTCCACGCCGAATTTGATTTTACTTCGGTTTTCATCGAACAGAAACCTGACCGGACAAGAACGGGAAGCGTCATTTTGTGTCCTGGGCTTATGAGATATCCTACGTTCTTAGTGTGCGTTGCGCAAGTGTATCGTGGCGTGCGTGCGTTTGCGCGTGCGCGTGCGTGCGTGGAATATGTTCATGTGTGTCCGTGCGTGGGTCTGCGGCACTGCTGTGTTATGCCGTGCTGCCCTGCCGTGCTCCTGCGGTCTGCGTGAACGTATGTTGCCTGTGTGTGTGTGTGTGTGTGCGTGTGTGTGTGTGTGTGTGTCAGTGTGTGTCAGTGTGTGTGTGTGTGTGTGTGTGTCTGTGTGCGTGTGCGTGTGCCTTTGTGCGTGAGCCTATGCGCGTGTGCCTATTTGCGTGTGTCTGTGGGTGCGATTGTGTGAATCGATGTTCTATGTGTGAAAGTTAAAGTTAAAGTTAAAGTTAAAGACGGGGCCTTCAAGGCGGAGTGGTGGGGCCAAAAGGCCAAAAGACACGCTCACCCGAGAGGGGCCGCCTAGGGCCGCCTCTCGCGGGGGCCCCGCAGGGCCACCCACCCGAGAGGGGCCACCTTGGGCCGCCTCTCGCCCTCCCAGCGGGGCCGCCTTGGGCCACCGCCCACCGCGAACTCGACTGCGACTGAACACAGGAGTCTTCACTCACAGGCAAAACAGCTCTACACACGGACACAACCGAATGCAACTGCACGCCAACTCACTCACTCACTCACCTCTCGCGATTCCTGCACTCCGAGGGCGGCTCTGGACTCGGCCCCGCCACGCGCCTCGAGCTGCGGAAGCGGCGGCGTGCCAGCTCCCGCCGCATCTCCCTCGAAGGCCGCCTTGGCCGCGGCGGCGGCCTCCAGCAGCGCTCCTGGAACTCCTCCCTGCATCAGTAAGCCCTCAGCTCGGGCTTCGACCACTGCCCTGTCGCCGAGTGTACGCTCCCTCTGCTGCAGCCATACCTTGGTGCGGGCCTCGGCGAGGCTAAGCAGCGCGTCCACTGCCGCGCACGGCCCGCGGGCCGCGGCCGCCACCGCTGCGAGGCAGACCTCGCTGAGGAAACCCAGGACAGCACCGTCGTCCGAGGCCGCACCCAGCGCGGGCGCCGCCTCATCCTCTCCGCCGCCAGCATCGGGACCTCCCCCACTGAGCAGCGCCGCGGGGTTCTCGAGGAGGTAGGTGGCGACGACCAAACTGCCCTCAGCGGGCGGTGCAGCGGCGGTGCACGCCGTGACAGCGTCGGCATCGGCCGCCCGCTCGCCAGCATCAAACCCATTCTCGCCAGAGAGGTCCTCCTCAGACTTCCCGCCGAAGGAGCACTCGCCAGTATCACAGCCAAGGCACGCGGATGCGCGCAAAGAGGCTGGGCCTCCGACCACGCCGAGCTCCCCAGGCCCGCTGCGCGGCGGAGGCGGCGTCCCAGCATCTGCAGCACCACCATCTGCAGTTCTGGTCTCTGAGCTCCCGCTGCTCGCCTCGCTCGTCGGCACGGCGTCCAGGTCCCAGGACGCCGCAAGCTCGGCGGCCTCGGGCTCCACGCTTTCTCCAGTCTGCCCACTCAGGTGTTCCAGCAGCGGCGGCGGCGTCCCAGCGCCAGCAGCACCGCAAACCTGAGGCTTCGCTGCGATGTCCGCCTGAGCCAAGGGCCCGCAGCCCAAGCCCGCGAGCACCGCGATGGCGGTCTCCTCGCCGCTCGGCTGGCGGCCCACTCGGCTCCACTCACCCGGCGGCCGAAGGATGAGCGGCCTCGCCGAGGACCGCAGGGGCGCGCGCGTCACGGCGGCCTGCGACGGGTGCGCCCACGGCACCGCGGGCAGGGCTACACCAGGCTCCGCTACGAACACCTCGACCTCGATTTCCAACTGGGGGGACTTGCCACCGCGCTGCATGGCGTTGAGCCGCTGCGGCGACGCCGTCGCGATCTCCTCCGCCGTGACATCGAAGACGTGGGAAGCCACATTACGCCTCCGTTGCACCAGTGGTTGGACCACCCCGTCGCCAAGCTTGGCCTTCAGCACAGGGACAATGAGCTGCACTCTCTGGCTGACCTCATCCGCCAGCAGACCCTTGAGGTGCACCAGCTCTA